TTATTTTAATTTAATTTTAATTTTAAGCTTACTTATATTTTTTTTTTTATTTTATTTGTATTATTATTTTATTTTTACTTTACTTTACTTTATTTTTATTTATATTTATGTTTTTATTTTTATTTTTATTTTTATTTATATTTATATTTTTATATTTATTTTTATTTTTATTTTTATTTTTATTTTCAATTTATTATATTATTTTATTTTATTTTATTTTTTTATTTTAATTTTATTTTAATTTTCAGTTTATTATATTATTTTATTTCATTTTGTTTTATTTAATTTGATTTTATTTTTATTTTATTATTTTATTTTATTCTGTTTTAATTTGTTTAATTTAATTTAATGTTAGTTGAATTTTTTTTAATTCACCTTTTTATTTTTTTATTTTGTTTTTTTTTTATTTTAATTTTTTTTATTTTTAATTTTATTTTTATTTTTATTTTTATTTTTATTTTTATTTTTATTTTTATTTTAATATTTTGTTTCCTTTTTTATTTCATTTTACTTTTATTTTTATTTTATTATTTTATTTTATTTCATTTTGTTTTATTTTGTTTTATTTTATTTATATTTCATTTTTCAAAATATACAATTTTACATACATAAATGAGCACACAAAGAATTACAACATAAATATGCGCCTATAAATGGTATTGTCATAATGACATTGCGAAAGGGTGTACCTTTCCATATAAAAATATTGGCCGCCGTAATAACTGCATATGGTTGCATATTGTTGCCTTTTATACATCTATACATCGCATTTGTGCAATATCATTTATAGCGGTTCGATGGTGCAAAAAAAAGAAAAAAAAACAGCCCATTGAGCCAGTTAATTTAGTTATTTTTTCATATTTCGTTCGGTTTATCGAAATAAGCCACCGAGACAATACAAGTAAACATACAAACAAATATGTCAACGAACGGTGAAAAAAGAAATAAATCGGGGCACATAACATACATATAAACATATTTACATATGTAGACCAATTGCTGACGTTTGATTTACAATTTCTTTGTATGTGAGTGTAATTGTCAGTTTTATTTGTGTTGTATTCATGGCTGTTGCAATTCGATGCTCGATAGCCAAATCAATAAAAAGTCAAAATCATATACAAATGTATGTAAATATTTATGTATGAGTATGTATGCACGTCTGGCAAATATGAATGAAAGCAATCAATTGTTGTCACTGTTTAAAAGAGGAGTTTAGCATATGTTCGATTGCTGAAATACAATAATATATTGTCTAATTTTGTAAACAGACATATATGTATGTAACATAATACATCTTTATTTTATGATTATTTTGTTTGACTTAATTTTTTCATTTTACTCTAATAAATTTAATTTTTTATTTTATTTTAAGAAATTTTTTTCCTGATTTTATTTTAATTTTATTTGTTTCGTCTCAGTTTAATTTAGCTCCATTTCATTATATTTTATCATACATTATTTTACTTAGTTCAATTTACCTTATTTTTAACTTTAATTTATTTTATTAAACTTTTTTTGATTTAATTTATATTAATATTTTAAATGTTATTATTTGCATTTTATTAATTTTAATTCAGTGCAACTTGATTTAATTTCTTTAATATAATTTTTGTTGTTTTTTATTGCATTTTTTTTACTTAACTACAATAAATAATTTTTTTTTTAATTTTTGAGCTCAGTTATCTTGGTTTTGTTTCATTTAAATAAATTTATTTTATTTTAGCGCTTAACTTTAACTTTCAAGTTTATTTTACTTCACTTAATTTAATTTATTTTTTATTTTACTTAATTTTTTTGCTTTTAAATCAATTTACATATTTTTTATGCGTCTTTTTTATTTAGTTCTATTTTATTTTACTTTAATAAATTTTATTTCTTTTATCTTATTTTACTTATTTAACTCAATTTAATTTAATTTTATTTTACTAAATTTAATTTTATATAATTTAATTTATTCAATCATCTTACTCAATTCCATTCTATTTTCTTTAATTTTTTTTAACATAACTTAATTTAATTTTATTTTACTTAATTTACTTTTTTTCACTTAATTTAACAAAATATATACTTAGTTTGTCTTATTTACTTTCATTCTATTTTGTTCAATTTTATTTTAACATAATATATTTTATTTTATTTATTTGAATTAATTTTATTTACATTTCATTTATTTTATTTTGTTTATTTAACTTAATTTTATTTTATTTTACTTAATTTAATTAAAATTTATATTAAATTTAATTTAATTTAATTTTATTTAATTTCATTTTATTTAACTTAATTTAATAAAATAAATACATAGTTTATCTTATTTAATTTCATTCTATTTTGTTTAACTTTATTTTAATATAATATATTTTATTTTATTTATTTGAATTAATTTTTTTTGTTTAACATTATTTTATTTAATTTTTTTTTTCAATTTTATCTTATTTTCTCTAATTTTTTTTTTATTTATTGAAATTCATTTTAATTTAATTTTTTTATTTTACATTATTTTATTTAATTTTGCTCCATTTTATTTTGTTCTAATTTTTTAATTTAATTTTTTTTACTTACCATATCTTTTTTTATTACGAAATATTTTAATATTTTTTTACTAATTTAATTTGTTCTCTATTTATTTACTCTTTTTTGATTCAAATCAAAAACTCTCATGCTTATGACACACCCTGTGCGTAGGCAAGCATCAGCAATTTTATATCATTTAAATAGTTAAGCAGATACATATTTATATTTATGCATACCTACATAGGTATCTATTATCTAATGGTTTTAAAGGTTCATTCATACATAAATATGCGTACATATGTACATATGTAAATGTGTATGTGATAAACTGCACTTCATTAATTAGAGGAGGAAAAACGTTTGGTGTTTAGTAAAAGTAGTTAAACCTGTTCGCGCTTGCAGATTGATTTGCATACTTGAAGGTGATAAATATTTTTAACATTGCACTTTGAATACTTGTTGGCTGAAAATAAAACCCAACTCTCCGTTACATATAATTTATTTTTATTTTTATTTTTATGTAAATTTGTTTGTAAGGCTGTGGCAAATGCGAAAGGTGTGTGGAGCACTTCAATGTGCTGGTGTTAATTGCAGTAAGGAATTTAAGAAAATAACGGTGTGGTAAGGTGCAGTTTTACTAATTATAAAAATAAGAAATAATAAAAAAAATTGAATGATGTAACAAATTTTAGGTCCACAACTAACGGTCTACCAAAACCAGAGTAGTGTTTTCCTAAATGTACATAAATATATACAAAAAAGGGGACTGCTTATATAGTCGTGTGTGTCATAGATAATATACCTTCTGAGCGGTCAAAAATGATAATAAAATATTTTCAGGGCTCTCATTCAGCAGTTTTTCACAAACAGCTTTATTCCCGATTTAGAATATATATAGGAATATTTTGAATTCAACTAAATTTGTCTCATTTCCATTGAACAATTATTTTACCAAAGATTTTTTGAATTATTATAAATAATATTGATTGATTAATTGATTGATTGATAAATGAATTGGAATAATTACTCATTGAATTAATAAATTACGAAGCATAACTAGTGCCCTGTAGAAGCGGAAATTCTGAGTGAAAACCTGATTTTTTCTGCGATGTTATTAGACGTTTGAAGCTTTATATTATGAACGATATAAATATCTTTAGTTACAGAGAGATTTAGCTTAATTACTGTGTACTGAAAGTCACCTTTACTACACCACAGAAGCTGCTTAGAGAAACTGTAGTGGCTGAGTCTCTTATCAACTGTAGTCTATGGTCCATTGGATTTGAGACCAGCAAACTTCACCTCACCAGCGAACAACATCACCTTCTCAACTGAGCGAGCCATTTTGTATGACTAATAAATGATATGAATTGTTAATGTCTGCCGTGATCAGCTGGGTGGCGGAATAGATGAAGTAGTATTCTCCGAGAATATTGTGTCATTGTGGTGCTAAGCAGTGTTCTGTTATTATGCCAGTGGTAGTAAATGTCTGGGACCTAACGCTGCCTAGATCTGCCTTATCTCTTTAAATGTGATTTCATTAAGCTATCTGTGTTTGTTATTTTTAGTGAAGGCCAGGTTTGGCATATGCTTTATTATGGACAAAGTTTTAGCCGCATCTTGTACAGAAATGATTGCGGTAAAGATGATTCCTGCTCCAATGTAGTCTAGTGAGAGAATATTTCGCGGGAGTCGAAAGACAGAGGCGTCCCGCTAAACTTTGTTCGCTCTTAAAAGTGATTTCATCTTATGCTCGCGACCAAACGAACTGGTCTACTAACCATAGCTCTCTGCCTTTCTCTTTCCCTTTCTTTGCCGTGAATAGGTTTGAAAGATTGTAATGACTCTGAACTTAGCAACACTCTGCAAGACTATATTGTAATGCTGAACCATTCAATTATCACGTCGAAAATCTGTCGAAATCCCTGATGTAAACAAGATTATTTGAAAATTGAATTGTGAACGAGATGGAAATTTTTTTTTTTTTTTGTTCAAAATATGACAAAGCGGGGTTTTCCTCATTGCCAATAACTCAGCTGTTGATATTCCTCAAATTTATAACTTTTTCTGTTGTTCCTACTCACTTTTACACCACATGTGCTGTGCCTTCAAACAACAAATGAATGATTGCAGAGCACGAAATAAATGCAAGAAGTGAATTAACTGCAGCACATAAAGAGAGAAAAAAATTAAAAACAAATTAAACAAAAATTGGAAAAAATAAACTATTCGAAAACATTTGTACATTCATGTCGAATAGTAACGGTGTAATTATTAAATAACTTCCGTGGTAAATTAGACAGCGTAAATTGCTCGAACGCACGTATGCATACATATATATGTATGTATGTCATGATAAAAGCGCCTTAATAGAAATTTAAAATTACATTTGAATTTTTTATTTGCGGCACTCTTGTGTATTTGTAATTTATACAATTTTTTCGAAAAAACATTAAGCGCATAGGTTTGGCGCGCAACGCACTTACCTTTTTCAATAATTTTTTATTACGTATTAAAATCTCCTCAGCGCTACTGTTCCGCAAGAACTGCATTTGCCGCTCGCGTTCGCGCATACATTGACGCAGCCACTGCTGTTCTTGTTGTTGTTGCTGGCGTGCAGCACAACGCTCACTTTCTCGCGCGCGTTGACGTTCTGCGTCGAGCTCAAATTTTTCATTGGAGCTTTTGTTTTCACTACAACAACGCTGTACGCCAAAGTCACAATTCTCATAACACTCACGCCTGCTACCACTACTACACTCAGCGCTGACTTTACAGTCACTTTTATTACTTTCACTGCCACCACTAGGCGTATGCACGCTGGCGCGCACTTCTATGCGCGAGACGCAGTGATCATCGTCGGTTTGTACTTCAGTCGCATTGTCGCGCCCACCGCACTCATAATAAGAACAATTATCATCTTCACAACTTGTTAGGCTACAGCAACAATGTTCATTGTCATCGCTGTTCGATGTGCTTTGATCCGCTCTTGACGGCGCTGTGGCAGCGCTTGTCGTCTTTTGTAGCGATTTCATTGAATTATTCTCCAGCTGAAAATATGAGTTGTTCCAGAAAACGCCACCAACGGGACCATTGCTTACACTACCCAAGCTGTTTCTTGCCTGCTGTGCGCGCTCATCGCCGCACGCCACACAACTGACTTCACTAAAAGTGCCTATAGAGGGTGTGGGTGAAGCGGCGCATGCGCGTAGCGTGTCGCTTTGTGTGCCAACACTGCTTTTGCTAGCGCACGCCACGTGGTTGTAGAAAACGCCTGCCTTAGTCATGCGCCTTAAACTGCAGTAGTCATCTGTGTCCTCTAAACCCTCCACCTCTTCTTCCTGCAGGTTGTCCTCCTTAGATATGGCAGTTATATTTCTACCCGCGCAGCGACAATTGCATTTGCCAACCGATGCGCTACTAGAAATAGTTGTATAAGAGCTGCCAGAAGTTGATGATTTCCCACCGCTTGTCAAAGCTGAAGCCTCCGAATTCGTCGAGCAGCCAGAGGTCTGCGAGGTGTAGGAGCACATCGAGATCGAGGAGGCGCGTGATGGATTGCCGCCCACACCAGCGTTGCTGGTTGAGCTGCGCACAAAAATTTTCACGCTGTGCTTATCGCTATCGCCGCCAGGGCTGGTACTGTGTTTACTGTTGTTGTTATTGTTATTGCAAAGAAATTGTTGGCGCGCACTTGCAGTCTTGGAGGAGACGCGCAGCGGTGGCGATGGCGGCACCATCAACGAGTCTGTATCGTAAGCATTTTGTTGGTCATGTATCCAATCATCATCGATTTTTATGGTGGTGGCACCTAATGGTTCCCGTTCACTGATGAACATTTTGTTGCGACTGCTCTTGTTGCCACTGTCACTCGTGTTGTTGTAAATGCGTTGTTCATTGATTTTGAGGTCATGTTCGATGTTACACTGTTTGGTTTGGTTGCTGACATTGCTCCCGCTTGCGATCGCACCAGTCCGGTTAGACAACTTATCCGATGCGCCACCTACTTTGCTGTTGGCTGTATTATTTTTCGACGACGCTGCTGTTAGTAACTCATCTGTGGTAGCCTTGGTGAGATTCTTCTTCGCGAAATTTTGTACATCGTTCGGATCACCGCCGCCGCCAAGCGCTTTCCCAACATGAATCTTAATTTGACGCCCCTCCTTCTCCGGCGCTCCTCCGTCGAACTCCTTGAGCTTTGGCAGTGCAGTTGTGGCGCCGGTTAATTTAAGTTTGTGCTGCATAGCGGTTGCGTTGGCGTTCGTTTGGTGCAGCATGATTTTCACACAGTCAGCGCACTTCTCAAGATTCCTTATATTGTTTTCCTTAGTACTGCGCTCTTTCAGATCGGTCGAGGACGACACGCCTGAGTCCGAGCAACAGCTCTCGAGCGAGCGACGCTTACTTGCGTTCAGTTCTTCGTCGGAATGCTGCGGTGTGCTCACGCTGCTGCTGCTGCTGGCGGCGTTACTCGACGCGGACATGGGGCAGTTGGTGTAGTTGCAGTTCTTGTAACCGCATGTACGACGGTTGGCGTCAAGCAATGCCTCTTTTGATTGCTTTTGATTAATTTCCTTTGCTTCCGGTACCCTTTCCTCGTGCGCTTTCTCGTTATTTACCGGCTTTGCCTCATTCAGCTGATTAATTATCAGCAGCGGCTGCCGCTTTTTGCGTATATGTACACGCTCCATTTTGAGCTTCTGAAAATTTGTCAGCGCATGCGGACGTGTCGGCTTAGATGCATGTTTATCCAGCTCATCACAGCTGTCTTCTGTCTTCTCTTCAGCTTTAGCTGTTATCGCAGCCGTTTCGAAAGCCGCAGATTTTGTTGCGCGTAATTTTATTTTCTCACCCGCGCATTGCATGCGAAACTCCGCGGTCACCTGGCGCTGCAGCTGTTGTTTGCGCTCTTGCTCATGATCGAACATTTGCCTTATGCGCCGCTGGAGTTGCTCATTCGCTTCATTGTACATTTGCGCTGTGCCGGTGGAGTGCCGTTGCGACTGTTGCTGTTGCATTAGCGGTTGCTGTGGCAGTGGCTCGCTTATGGGCTTTGGTATACGCGACACTTGTTGACGTTGTTCAGGCGACGTGCGTGGTGGACGTATCGCTTCGGCTGTATGGCGCGTCTGCGCATTGTCGCATGCTTCACTTTGGCTTTCCAGCACACAGTCATAACAATCGCCAGGTGCACTGGAGTTGCTGAATCGCTTCATACGCTCATCAATGCTGGGTAGCGGGTCGCGTGCGCGCATGCGCATGTTAGGCTCCTTTTTTGGTGTAGGCGCCACGCGTAATGGTTGCGTAGTACGCGTTGTGACTGATGCTTGTGTTGTTTGGGTAATGCTCGATTGTGGTGGCGCTGGCGCGCGATGTTGTTTAGTTGAGCGTCTATGCTCCGGTCGTTTGGCTTGCTCAAAAAGACGATTTATTTGCGTTACAGCAGAGGGCTGGGGCTTATCTACGCAGTTTCGCTGTTGTTGTATAGAAAGTACAGATAAACGTTTATCACAAGCTAACACGGCGCTTTGCTGTTTATGATCGCAATCGGTTTGCTCTATGCGCGCTATACGGTCTGCACGCGACTTAACGCCCGCTCGCACAATATCGCGTCGAATATCACACGTTGAGATGCGCGCACGATAATTCCAACTATTCGATTTTTCACAATCCGGATAAGCAGTGGAAGCGCCATCATCCGCGTCATCCTCCGACGAGGCTGAAGATTGTGTAGCAGATGCGCAGGAGGAATTGCAACACGAATGCACCTCAACATAGTCGCTCTGCTCTTCGTCAGAGTGTGCGGTGTTGATGGCTGTAGTAGACTGTGCGTGCCGCAATTTAGAGACAGCTGCCGCGGTGTTGCTGGTTTGATGTTGGTGCTGTTGTTGTGATTTTACTTGTGGCAGTTGATGTTGTAAAAATTTCCACGATTCAATTGTGGGCGGTGGCAGTGGTTGCTGTGCGCGTTGCGTTGCGCTGCTCTTAAGTGGCGTTGCGATGCGCTGCACTGCGTCGATGTGCGCTTTACTTGTACTGGCTGCGTTCAACTTGGTGCCACCTAATTCGCTTCTACTACCGCTCGGTGCGCTTTTGTATGCAGTGAATTTGCTGCCACCAGCTGGGTTGAGTGCGTGTGGGTTTTGTAGGGCTGCTGCTGCTGCTGCTGCTGCAGTTGGACGCGGCATACGTACTTCCTTGCACTGCTGCACATAATGCAGCTTGAGCAGCTCCATTTGTGGTATTTCAGCGCTGGACATACGCGAGTCCAGCGTGCTATCCAACGTAAGGCTGGCGAGTGTCTCGCTGGACGGTTTGCGCTGTAATTTATTGCGTGGCATTCTTAGCGGTCTAGCATAAGTTTTTTTCGCACTGGAGATTTTATGCTTTTTACGTTTGCCGCTTCGCACTTTACATATTTATGTAGTGTACTTTTTTCTCGGTTTTTTCTCTAAGCGCGCATTAAAGTAATTAGGTTTAGTGTTCTATTGAACGGCAATTACACTTTTGCACTTTGGCCTGTGCGCCACATTTAAAAATGCAATTTTGCACAATTATTTTTAAAAATTTTTCTTTGTATTTGTAACTTTTGCAATTTTCATTATTATTTTTTTGTTTTTTGGTAGATTTAATTTTTTGTTTTTTTAATGTAAAATTTTCGAATTTTCGCTTTCGGTATATTTTCATTTATTTAATAATTTTTTTTTTAACGCATGCGTAAAAATTTTGTTTATCACTCAATGCAGAATAAACAAATAATACATTTAATATTTTTGATTCGTTAAAATTTTTTTGTAAAACACAATAAAACGGTTTTAAATTTTTTGTGAGATTTTTCTTCATGAAAATCAGTTTTATTTAAATTTTTGCACTTAAGCCACAACTGCGTTGGAATAAATCAACAGCAGTATTTCGTTTAATTTTCAACTATTTAATTACAATATTTTTTTTTTTTGAAAAATTTCCCACTTTGCTTTATTTAATCGTATTATTCCATTTTCTTGTATGTTTTCATTATTTGTTTATTTTTTTTTTCCAAAAAAAATTGTTTTCTTTCATTTCTGCGTGTCATTGTTGTTGTTAAGCATTTTGGTGAATTTTAAAAAAATCGCACAAACACTATTTCAACCGCTCATCGTTGTTTACTCGTCAAAGATTCGGCTCAAACTGTTCGTTGTGCTAAGCCAAGTTAGTAATTACAAGCAGCTAAAGTTTTGAGTTGGAGAAAAACAGCAAAAGTTTTAGTTGCATGACGACATGCAACATGCTCGAAGCGAGCCTGTTTGATTCATACATATTCATGCAATCTTGCGTTGTTCGAAGCTCGTTGCTTGGCTTTAATTTTTACTTGGCTGTTGAAAGAATGCAAGCCGGGTTTTCAGTTGTTTTCGGCCGTGCTTTAGCATATTTGAGTTCAAAAGGTCTATATGTACGAGGGTTGCTATATAAATTTCGGGATTAGGGAGAGATAAAACCAATATTAATCATCGAAAATCGCTTTATTGTTTTCCAACATTTTTTCCATTAAAATCTATACACTTTTGAATGCGTTTGAACCAATTGCGGAAATCCTTCTGCCACTCTGATCGAGGTAACTTCAAAACACGTCTTCCGAACGCATCAACGGCTTCTTCTGGTGTCGTCAAACGTTGGCCTCTCAGTTTATTTCTTACGTACGGGTACAAAAAGAAATCATTCGGTGCCAAGTCAGAACAATACGGTCACTATCCACCAATTGAATCGTTGTTTTGAGCGCTCAGAAATTCAGTTCTTCCGTGGATCGACTGTTGCGGGCTCATATACTTACTTATCACGATGTCATATACCTCTGCCGCTCTCTCTCTCTGTATCCGCTGTGGCTTACTTGGTTTTTTACAGTATGATTACAGTTTCCAGTTTGTCTTTAAGTTCTTGGTCAAGTTAAGACCTCGTGGCTTTGTTCTTTCCAAGCTTGATAATGCTTTCATGTTTTAAATTTGCTTTTCTTTTCTTTTTTTTATGTTTTTATTTACCTTTGGAAATTATTTTCTATAATTTTCGAAGCACATGCGGGTGATAGCCTTTAGGCCGATGACAGAAATGAGGTCTAAAACCAAAAATTTTCCGCTGAATAGGTACAGCAGTTGTTAAATCTATTCTATGGCGTCACCGTGTAATTCAAGATCTCTACCATCGACTCGCTCAAAAGCAAAATTGAACGCAACACATTCATGGAATTATCGCCCAAATATTAAGCTGGACTACATCACTTCCTTCTATTGGCGCTATGGCCATTTTTTGGTGAGCGTCATAATGTTTTTCTATCAAATGGAAGAACTTACGGTACTACAAACCATGATCATCGCTATGGTGGCAGTAAAAATTTCACCAGTTAAGCAATCAAAATAAATGGTATAACCAATGAATTGACGACGCAATGCTATGGATGTCGTACCCTATGTGTTCGACCAATTCAGTCGTATCTAGTCAAGCACATGATGGGAAAGAAGTAGGATTGGCTTCCAGTAAACATTTCTGCATGTAGAGGGAATGTTTCTCCCGCTGAAAACCGTCCATTTGGCAGAAAGGATAAACCATAACCCAAATTTGTTTGTTGTATATCCTTAAGCTGGTATTAACGAAAGTGTCGGTATTACAGTTTCTGGAGACTCTTAGGCAGACCTCTTACACAAACCACATTTCAAGACTACTGAGAAAAGGAACTGTTCTCACAAGGCACCGGCTGAAATGTGTACACCAGCAGCGTCAGAAATCGCTGGAAAAAGTGCAGCGCCTTGAGGCTAAGTGACCGACCAAAGATAGTACGCATCCCATCACCTTGCTGGCGGTGGCCTTCATTGACGGACTAATGGAGCGTATCTTAACGTCACCTTTAGATAAGTCTGTTTTTCAGATCAATGCCGCAGTTCTATGCTTAATGAAAGAGAGTCTTTCAGAGTTAATGAACTACCTCAAGCCATGGCTTGTACGTGACAAAGTGGTTCAAAGGCTTCTGAATATAAAAATTGTGAAAAGGCTTCTACTGCGGCGGCGCTCTGGAAGAAGATGCTGTTATTTCTTACCAGCAGAGAGGTCACTTGAAGGTGATAAAGTTAATTCCTATAATAAATGAAAGCAGCTGTGGCTTTGTATTCTCATTTCTGTTCTCTCTGAATAATTCTTTGAGTCATCACATTTTCTCTTAAGAGTGTGTCTGCTTTTGAAGAATATGAAAATAGTTGTGGTAAGAGAGACAAAACAGCTGCAAAATATGTTCATTTCTTAAAAGCAGAGCAATGGATCTTAGGAATTCGGGTGAAGATAACGAGATCGTCTTCTTAGCTGTAGATATGCATATGCCGCGATATAAAGATATAAACACTTCGACAGTTCAGTAAAGACTGTATTTTGTTATTGTAGTGATTATTATATTACTACAAAAATGCTTAAGAGATTGCAAATGTAAGCAGGAAATTCTTCTAGACAACTCATCACTCACTGTCTTCATTTCATCATATATTTTCTTATAAGTAAGCAAGCAAAAATGCCACTAAATTGAAGCTTGTCTTGAAGCGTCAATGAAACAGCCGGCAGTAAAAATATCCAGCTTAATCCTCAGTAAATACAATAACATTAAAATATTGAGAAACTTTCATTTTCGATTAGAAAACTCATGTTTTTTTAATACATTTGTATGTGTAAGCGCAGCTCACTACACCACAATATCTGTAAGCTGCTTCCTTCACGGCATTTTGTTTACCAGCAACAGTGTTGGAGACAGTGATACACGTCACGCTTGACACCTCAACTGTCAACTGTGCTTAATTAAATAAACAAAAAAGTCATGCGTAGCGAATGCCCTGCGGGAAATCTACCGAAGTCAGTACCTCATGGAGTTTATTTGATAGTAAATTGGAATGAAAAGGCTTAATAGTTTAGAATGATAAGAGAAAAAATTCCAATAAGTTTTCAATATCGAAAGAGAAACCATTCATTGAAAAATTTTTGAAGAAAAGCAGTTTCAATTTTCCTCTACAATGGGGGCTTAAAGAAATAAATTAAAAATTACTATATTTCCTATCAACAACTATTTTTTCTCACCTTTCATTAACTATGAATTATGTCGAATAAGAAAAATTTGTTTCTACTAGGAGAACAGAAAAAATTTTGTTTGGAAGTTTTGGCTGCGTAAAATAAGAAAAAATGATAGACCTACCAACATTTATATTGAACGGGTCGGGATGCCGAGTTGAGTTGATTTATGCATCTTCGACTTGTACTTTGTACGTCTGTCAGTCCAGTCTCTCAGCTTTTGATATATTTTGAATTCATCCAACCTGGATACGCCCATGCCTTGGTATATTTAAACGATCATTTGTTGGAACCGACGAGAGCGGATCGCTACAAAATATGACTATTCGGATTTGAGATTTTATGTTATAAATTCGTTCAAGAGCATCTTTTCAAAAAAGATTTTTGCTCTATTACAAAGTAATTCAGCATTTTGTATTGATCTCAGAGCTTTAGTTACTATAATTAGAATCATGCGCTTTATCTCAAATATCCACCGATTTACTCGTTAACTGTTTGTGCTGTTTTGAAGGTAATGACATTATGTCCCTCTCATAGAAACTGCGCTTAGAAACCCTGCTCCCTATTAGCAAAACATTGAGACAATCGATTTTCAGAGGCTTCTCTGGAGACCATTTCCTCATCAGTCAAATCATTCGCCATAGACAGGAAAAGCTTGTAATCATCTGATGTGAAATACTAACTATAGGCTCTGAGAGCTTCTCGTGAGTTCCTATCGATGGGCTGACCAGAGTTGCTTTTGGACCACTGCTAACTTTAGACGGCCGAACCCGCCTTGACAGTTTTCGTTTGACGTCAGTGAAAGTGATGCTTCACCAGTCACCACTGGGTCGACCTTTTTACGATACAACATCGTTTCGCAGTTGGAAATACGGTTCATGAGGATTTTTCGAGTTAACTCATGTGGCCCCCATACCATGACTGGAATATTTCAAATATTTTATCGCCACTTTTGACAATTTGCTTTATTGTTGTAAGATCTTAAAATCAAAAATTCAATGAATTCTAAATTTTTTCAGATTTAGGAAATTTTGTTTTCAATAGTATTTAATTACGTCCAAATTTTTACTGTTTTTATTCGCGAAAACTCGTTCTTTACATATTTAATAACTACATTTGTTAAGAAGAATTTCCTAATGGGTTCTTAGGAAGACATAAACAGCTTGAGGAGTATGAACAATCAAAATTAAGTTGCCACTGCCTATTTACGACTGTAGAATTTATGCAATTAATAAGAGAGACAAGCAAATAACTAGTAGACATGAGTAGAGGATTGATCGACAAATATACGCACATGGAAAGGCATAGAAAAAAAAAACAAAAAAACAAAAAACAAGAAAAATATGTGGGCCTAAGTAATGCCAGCACAAATGAAAGTAATTTGATGTGATTGCGGCTAACCAACCACGCCAAGGTATCTATGAGTATGTACGCGCAAACAGATAGTAAATAATCTCAGTAGTTGGCAGCAAGTTAACTATGTCCATATGCATGTATGTAAGTTCATATAGTA